AGTACTTTTTAAAAAATGTTATTATTATCATCATCATTTATAATGTTGTTTAACGTTATGTCCGATCACGTAACAGATACCTAGCGTTGTAAGAGTATTACATTACGCTTGCAACGTGTTAAACTAAACAACTCGGAAGATATACAATCTCACGTTTTCTTTACAAACACGTATACACTCTCTCGATGATCTCGTTCTCTCTCTCTCTCTCTCTCTCTCTCTCTCTCTCATTAAATGTTCTAAAAAACATCAATTACTAAGAAGACTCTTTGTTAAGGACGTTTTTTTTTCATTGTGCTCCATCCATGAAAATGTTTTACATCGAAGACAGCTCATGTTTGTCCTTCCACTATTAAGGTCATATAAATAAATTTTGTATAGAATACACATTATTTTTCGGACTCATGTTTTCCGTTTCCACAGATGTCCAGGTACAAAGTACATAGGAGAGCAGAAGCCGAAACTGATATCAGGAAGACAGGAGCGACAGTTTCAATGAAACGAAAACAAATTTCAGGCAGTGGAATTCCGAGTTATAGTATTTATTTATCACTGTCATCATACAGCCCTTCTCATAATATCCACGATTTTAGTCGTCGCACTTTTCTCTCTTGTTTTTATAATTTGAATTATAAAGCTATACACATTCAATTTAGTTTCGATAAGACTACTTACATACTTAAGATCGAAGTTTATATTGCTGGTAATAGTTCTTTTTTTCTTCTTCTTTACCGCTAGTATGGTTAGTTGTTCGCTTAGTGAAATGCGTCACTGAAATTTCTTTTACCGAGGTACGAAATTGGAGCAGTATTCTCTTGGCCAAGCACGTGTTATAAATGCAAAAAGACATAATAAGGTCGGTGTTAGTTTGTTAGCACTCGAATATACCTATATGACTAGTTTTCTGTGTCAACAGATTTTTTTTCTTAAAAATATAAATTATTTACAAGGATTTCAGCTAATTTTATCGAGATTTAATAACCTTGGTTTTAATCACATCAATAATACCGAAGTATAGGAGGGCCGTGGCTGCAACTGATTACTATTGTTTCTCCTTTTATTGTTTTTTTTCTTTGTAAAAGAAAAAATAAACAAAACAAAAAAGAAACGACACCTGGTCTCTTTCTTTTATTTCATTCATTGTAAACAGGAAATATAATTTGGTAATTTGAATGATTCGGGTGGGGTGGATGAATTACAACATGTATTGAGTATTTTTAAGCGAAAATAAGTGCGTAGTTCGTAGTCTTCCTCAATATTCATCGTTCTCGCGTTTGCCGTACGATCAAGCTAATTCCGTAGCTAATAATTAAATCATTATCTCATTTTCTTTCGCCTCCTCTCGATCCGTCAAATTGTATATACAAAATAAATTTCTATGATACACATTTCGTCACGTTGCGATACAAGGTAATTTCCTTCGTTTTCTTTTTATATTTATTATTCCTTTAAATGATTTACCCAAGCTCTCGAGGAATTAAAACGTTTTCTAGTAAAAATGCCCTTTATATCAGCCTAATGATGGGTGACAACAGACACGTGAAACAGGAATAGACTGATTCGTAATAACTAGACGCAGTTCCTTATACTTGTTTTACACTCGTAATCTCAACATTCTCCTCAACTGAAATCGTAGTACACGGTCTTTATTTATTTATTTTATTTTCTTCTTCTTTTTTTTTTTTATTTATTTATAATCTCGCTTCCTAAAATTATTTTATAGCTTATAAAAAACGAAAAAACAGTTGATCCGACAAATGAAAAGAATTCAACGTGGAATAACTTTGTGAAGAAAAACTCTCTCGCGTTCCGAAGAAAAATCAATACTAGATTATACTGCGCGTCGAGCCTAGTGGTTTAGCCACGGCACCTTTTCTTTTTATTCTTTTTTTTTCCTTTTTTTGTTGTTTCTTTTAATCGTTTTTAATTCCATTCTTTCCTCCTGTTTACTTAAATATAAAAATACATAGCCAGTCTATACATAGAGCGTGCAAAGTGGCACAGTGAACTGAGTTACCAGATATCCTGGATGGTTAACTACCGCTCTCAGTATTCGTCGGTTCAGCTTCGTCGTGACTTTTGCTCGTGTTACTCGACACGGGGAGACCTGAGGTTTTTGGCAGCGGGTTAGTTACACTATCACTATTGGATGTTGTCGCGTTATACATCGAGTTATCAAAGTGTTGCAAGCATGGAAATTCTGGACCAGGCAGCAGTAAAGTAGTTTGGGTGGGAAGATTAGTTAATGATACCATTCCTGGTGTCATCATTTGCTTGTTAAAGCAACTCCTTAATGCCTCTTCGATTAAATTCGCTATCTTATCACGATCGTTCTATAAAAAATCATCGTACTCCCTTTAAAACGTTGCTCGTGTGTACGCATAATTCTCTATGTCTGGGGAGCAGAAATTTAGGCGTCTCATACAATCCCTAGCTTTATTAAAAGACATTTTAAAACAAACTAAAGGATTGCAATATTCTTTTCTCTCATTGATAAAATAAATTACGACGTAAAAAAATATATTCTTGACCGGATCTACTGATTTTCTAAAGTTCTTAATATTGTTGAACATCGACCGGAAGTTGCTAAGAGATAGGAATATGTTTTGAAGAGACGGCTAACTTCTTGCTTCCGCGTCATAGCAATAACATTGTTCAAGGGGCTGTAATAATTACCTCGTTAATGAACCCAAAATGTACAAGTTCCTGCGCGAGAAGCAGCGACGTATCTACTTGGCTCACAGGACACGTTAATTGCCTATTCATTTTGTCGTCCATTCGTAACAATATTGTCATCTATAAAATATATATACCAAGCGTAAACGACAGGAAACGATTTGTCAGCGATGGATTCTTACAATAGTAACATTTCGCTTGGCCACTCACAAGTAATTCACAACTCTCTTCTCTAGGCTTAACGTTACACATCATATTAACTACTCTCCGAGACTCCACGTCCACTGGCTCTGGCGTAACCGATTTCACCGACTCGGTCACCTCGGGTGATATCGCTCTAGGCCGAACTGGTGGTGGTAGTTTCGCCATAAATGCTGTCAACGGGTATATTCCATATCTGTCGGCAGAAATGATCATTGGTACCGTTAATGTGTTAACGACAGGAATCGGAAACTCACTCCTGCGATAACCGTCTACCATCATCAGGTTATACTCACTTTACATCTTCCACAAACTTTTCTAATTTTTCTGTAACAGGGATATCACTTAATCGAATTTGCTGAGGTGGTCGGCCTTGGTATTTGATTTCGGCTACCACCGTATCCGGTCCGTATAGCCTTTGCAATACCTCGTCGGTTATAGTTTCTGAAATGTTGGCTGTAACAGCGACGAAATTTTATCAGTTTCCTCCTTAATGTTACATCACTAGAACCGACTTATCATCTGGCGCTACTTAAACAATTGCTCTGTTATAACTAGTACACCTACTGTCGTAAAATGATAGAAGATAACGTAAGGCGGAAGTATTATCCGAGAAGAATACATTAGCTATTTGTATACATTTGTATTTGTTTTCTCCAATATTAAAATAATCCAAGTACTATTCTATAATCCTATATAATCAATAGGTTTGGCAGAAACTTACTAGCTGAATTGACCAGAGCATGAGCCGCGAGTAATTTCAACGAATGTACTTCGAACAGGACAGGATGAAAAAGAAGTTCTCTGGCACTTGGTCTACTAAGCGGATCTACTTGAAGACACTTCCGGATGAAGTCTTTCTGTTGGACATCGTCCAAAGACTCTATCGTCTTTCTAACGTTCTCCTCCGTTACAATTGTTCCGCTATCACCATTCCCTTGGATTTCTAACGCGGCCATTTCCAGAGCACACATACCGAATGAATAAATATCAATGGCGGGTGTCACAGAATCTGTAAAAATACAAATAGTTATAATGCACAATCTACTTTTAAAATGTGACGTTCTAATGAATCCCTTACTTCCATATTCCGGTGCTACAAAATGCATATTCTTCATGTTTGCTCTACAAGTTTTCACGTGATGGTGGATCGCATCCGGAGCCACTGTAATTAGAAAAAGAAACATAATATCAATTTCTGGCCCTGTGTATTCTACTGTGCACACACGAAAGTGATATATTTTTATAATGATAGATCTCGACAAGCAACGTGTTAGAAAAATCGTTTGTACGAGGCAGCAGGAATTCTGTAAGATATCCTGAATACAAAAATATAAGAAAAAAAGTTGTAGACACGGTCTTCTGTCGGAATTACCCGCCACCTCTGCCATAACAAGTAAATTAATAAACCGCTAGAAAAATTGTGTTGTAACTGAAAGTTTATCCTAAGAGTAACTTGAGCCCTCATACAGTTAATATTTTTTTTGGACACATTTATATGTCACGAAAGTGTCTCTTGAAAACAACAAGATATAATGCAGTATACAAAATTCTATTATGCAGCAAATGTAAATTAAAACATATATATATATAATATATATGTACTCGATTGTACTAGCACTCTGAAGAGACACTTTCATCGAGTAGCGATGAAACTTTTAGCAACGGGAACGGAATTCAAGGATCTCGTTTTATTGGTGATCACGGGAACAAAAAAAAAATATTAGAATACAATAGAGATGCGTGCGCTGAATGGTTCAGAAGGACCAAGGTACAGAAAACGGTCTAGCCTTATCGTAGATGATAATTCATTGACCCCGAGGGATGAATAGTGCAATGTAATGGCACTAACGGTATTAAACTAAATAAATATTAATATTTTGTAGGAACATATAACCAGTCTACCAGTAATTAAGATGTATATAATATATATACATAAATGAGAATGTTTACCTCTGTACGCCTAAATTACTTAGCTGGCAATAGTCGTTGATTATCTGCCAAATGTATTTCCATCAAAATCACCATCTTTTTCAGAATTTACACCAATCGAGGAAGGTCGCTGTCGCTCGATCTATTCCTCCGGATGGGCGAAAGTACGATTGTACTTCCTCTCTCTTCAAAGATCTTTGCTGTGTTTTTGTTTCATTATCTAGATTAGCCTATCTGCTACAATTAAAAATGAGGACTCAAGTTACTCCTAATATGTAAAAGCAGTTTATACACAATCTTTCTAACAGATTGACGTTACTAATGGACATGTACAACAAAAAACTTCTATGTATGCATGTATGTATATGTATGTAGAACGAATACAGTAAAACACAGTTACAGTGATCGTAAGAAATGGTATCTAAAGTGATTGACTCAATATCAAAATGGAGTGCTAAAGTCACATTGAGTTTCCAGTAGAGTTATCGGGGATATCCGTAGAAATAGTAATCCTTTGCCCCACATCATTGATCTCGTTACAAGAATCAATTAATATTATCTCGCTCGAGAAAGATTACATTATAGCGTCAAACGAGACTTTCTTTGAACGACAGAAATGAATCACGCTCTTTCTTCCACACATTTATATGATCTTTTTAGGATTTGTATCAAAGTATTGTTCATACATCAGTTTAGTTCGATTACATTATCTGTCAGGCAGAGATTGATTCGATAATTGTAGAAAAATTTATATTTATTACTGTCGATTGGCTTATCATATGAGACAATCACAGTAATAGCAATATACGTACTTTGCATGTACCCCATGTAAGAACAAAATAAATACCAGTTAGGTTTACAGTTGTTTACTTTTAACTTCACCGATCGGTCGTTAATAATCCTATACTGTGAAATATTTTTTTTTTGCATTATTTTCTTCCGTGAAAATTATGAGAAACAAAACTATTAGCCTCTCATTGTCCTGTGAATAAAAAAAAGGGAAGCTCCTTGCAAACTCCTATTCCAGTGTACACTAAATTATTTCATTTTAGGATAAGTGCTCTCTTCAATACCTATGAGCAACTATGTATTCATACTTGTTAGCAGAGTGTTTCATTACATAAAGTACAGATATATATATTCAACACTCTGTACTTTCAAGAAGATATATATGTATATATATATATAGATATATAATAGCTTTCTCAAAATGAAAACTTTTTTACATTTTGCCACGAAAGTACTTACCCGAGCCAATTTTTACAAGTCCATTATGTTGAATAAATATAGTGTCACAAGTGAGATTTCCATGAATAATCGGAGGTGAACAGGAATGTAAATAACTGTAACACGTTTAACTAGATTAATATACAGAAAATACACCTACAATTAATGTAAAGAATCAAGTTACCTCAGTGCAGATAATATTTGAGTACACCAACGTTTCCATGCTTGCAGGGGTAATTTTTTTACATTACGTTTCGTCCGTTTTAGGAACTGTTTTAATGACCCAGAGGACATATACTCAGTTATAAATATAACCTGTTAAACAATAAAAAAATATGATAGAGGTGTAAGCAATATTAAGAATTTTAAAAACAAAGAAATAAGATTATGTTTGACCACTCACTCGAGGCTTATCATTGTGAGTATCTGTCCAATACCTATGAAATTTAACAATATTTGGGTGTTCTAATTGTGTCAGATTCTCAAATACAAGTTGTATTTTTTCTTCTTGTGCTTTGAAGTTTTTCCTTTCAGAAAATTGCACCTCATTCCAAACAACCTCAACACCTTCCTCTGTGTCCATTGCCAAATAGGCACAGTCGATTCCTGGTACATCACGTTGCTCCACCTGGGTAATAAAGAATATTCATGAGAATACATTATTTTATACGAGCAAGCACATATACACACACTTTGAACATACTCAATACATTGTTTGCACAATGCAAATCAACAACATCAAACGCAAAAAGTTAGTTGTATTTATAGCTATAGTTTACAAGTGTAATATATACATCAATTTATTTACAAAACCAGACTATTAATACATTGTAATGATCTATATATGGAGTAACAAAATATATTACTGCAATCATTCATTTTTAAGTTACTCAAAGCACAATTCAAACAATTTCATGCCTATTTGCCATTACATTAATGTGACCTTCCAAAGAATTTAAGGAGGGGAGCTGCTCACTTGGAGAAGGGATTGTCATTGTAGGTATTCACATTATACTACGCTGAAGCAATAAATATAGTGTTCCTGCCTAAATTGAATAATAGACCTTCGAACATTTCAGAACATAAACTGGAATGCATACAAAACAGAAGAGATAGCCTATTTTCGTTTAAATAGACATACCTCCATTTCAGTGACTTCGTTTTCACTGCCTCTGGCTGCTCCAAAGGTAGAGCCTTCGGCTAACGTGGACTTGGAACCTACATATACCTAACATAAAATAATAGTTATTGAACAACAAATAGACAAACATATCTTTTACTTTTGTTTAGTACTACTTTTCGATCAAAACTGATATTATTGGTATTACACTGAAATAAACAGATGTTTAGTATACAAAAAGAAATATTCCTTAAGCATTATAAAAACAAATTTCAATCCTCTTTATAACAATTTTATGTTCGCTAAAGCTGTAAGAAATAACAAAGAAAAATGTGTTAGAACAAAACAGTCTTGTGTTAATGTAAATATAGTCCAACTATGCCGATTTATTTTTGGGATGTAATATGAAAGTGATTGCCGTTGGTAAAAGCTTAGTGCCAAGAAGTTGTTGAAGATCGATCTGCAGATACTGCTCGATTGAAGATATTTGATGCTTACAAAAAAATGTGTAAAAAATGTCCATAACAATTACAGTTTAAATACATATTCGTATGTACATTAAAATACTCCAATTTTCTCGTGGTTTCTTAAATACTTAAAGAAACAAGATCTTTCAAGATAATTGCAAAAATTTCCTCTTGTTCACAAGAGCGTACTGATCGTGAACATTGTTTATACCTTCTGAAAGTCATACCAGTCTTATGGCTGCGATCGAATCTATATCCTTCATGAGAACAGTTATTACCAGCTGTTCCATATGAACTCCATGACAGTGGTTATGATACATACAGAGAACATATACGTCCAATGTGTTAGGAGCTGTACAAATCGTGATGAGCCCGTATCCATGTTCGAATGGGCAAACATGTGATACGGGCAGACATATCGATGAGATATATGGCGATGAAAAGAAGAATATGAAGGATGAAGAAGAAGAATTGTGTACCTCTTCCCGGCGTTTGAGCCACCGCCCGCAGGGGCTCTCCTCCAGGATTTCACTCTCATCCTCGGAATCTTCACCACTTTCCCGCGGTGACTTGTGCTCTGGGTCCGTGCTGGAGCGACTCCCGGGCATCACACACGCGATTAATTGAAGGAGCAGCACCGAACAGAGCACAACGCGGCCAAACTCATCGGTGGCTATTATTCGACGGAGTTGCTTCCTCAATGTTGCATTTATGCACCGCTGCCGAGTAATACACACGCGCGTAGACACGTGAACGTGGAACGAGGAACTAGCAGTGAACGTCAAGTCTCAAGTGTATGATCTGGCACCAGTAGCAGCAGCAGCAGCAGTAGCAGTAGCAGTAGCAGTAGTAGCAGCACTCACAGTGACACATGCAGCGACAACCCGAGTCGCAGGAAACCCGAGCTGCGATATTTCTGATCTTACGCGGTCACGCGCACGAATCCACAGTTTCTGGACTCCCTCAGGGCTTGGCCGGTGTACCGGACATCGCGCGAGCCGCTCGCTGATCACACTGTCAAAATAAAAACCTCTGCTATGAGCGAAATAGGTTCGATGTGACATACACTCTGGTATTCATTTTCGCTCTGTCTTCGGTCACGTTCGCCCAGTATGGCGATCACCGTGCACCGCACCCCTTTTCGGGTCGATCCAACCGCTATCTAGCGACTACAACGGCAACTACATTCTCAAGATCGTCAAAGCCCGTGTTCTGCAGCACCAATCGCTTAACCCTTCTGCCGTTGCGTGCAACAACCTATAGCGGCAACGTAGTTCGTGACTAATCACAATTATTAAACATAAGTTGGGCAATACTTAGACGATCAGCGAGTCACTTACAAATCACTGATTTGAAATCAGTACTGATTTGAAATCAGTGATGCACCGTACAAGATTTTATACCACGAGATGAATTTATTGGAGTAATTAAAAATTTGTATACGTTGTGTCTTAGTACAAGTTAAATAAGTTTCCTTTTAAAAAATTCTGAATTTCAGATGTGCCACAATTTATAGCGATCGTCAACCACTCGTAATTTTATAACTTTCAACAATCGTGTGATTATTGTTGACTTTACTTGTGACGAATTGCAATTTATTGCGATGACGTGCGTCAACACGCTGCCTCTACTAGAAGGCGCGAAATTAACAATTCTTGATGAAGGTGCGAAAAAGTGAGTCAGTTTTACGACAGCGTAGAATGAAATGTTTATCAATTTGTACATTTTTTAGGGGTGGATGCAATGTATGCAAGAAAGTTAATCGCAGGATGGATACAGATGTGGAAAGATCTAGATCCTAGTAAGACATTTGACTTATTGTTGTTCTCTGATCCGAAGTCTACATATAGACACGAACCAGAACCTTTTAGGTCGAGCAATGTACATATTCATGATTATTACACAGTCGACGTAAATCAACTTGATGCCAATACCATTAATGATAAGGACTTTGATACTCTCGAACATATTTTAAAAGCCATGGAGACGAAATCCACCGTGATCATAGATTGCCTGACATCTCTGATATTGTTCGTCGGTTTGTCCAAAGCATTGTGGTTCTTAGAAAAATTAAATAAGGAAGTAGATCTGCAATTAATCTGCATCTATAGACGAGACTTTGTGCAGTGTCAGATTCCTTGCATCGAGGCACTAGGTACCAAATACATGAAAATAGAAAGGTTTCATGGTATACACACAAATGATAATATTAACTATACGGTGGAGATTACGCACCGTAAACCAGGCGGTAAGATTTTAAGACAACAGAAATTAGTAACTCAAGATAGTACTACTTATGAAATTCAATCAGAGAAAGTTGAAACAAACAAAAGATTGGATGCGATATATAAAAATGAGAAACAGAAAGTTGAATCTTCATTTAGGATAGAAATAAGTGAACATGAAATGAAACAGAGAGAAGAAACGGTGCTACCGTATATGATCAATTCGAATCCGACAAACACATCAAAAATTCATTATCAACCAGAGGACATCGATGACATTGATGAAGAAGATCCGGATGATGATTTGTGTATCTAATTCGTGCATGAAATGCATTGATAATTCATCATGGGACATTAATATACAGTCGTCGGATGTATTTATATTTATGCCATTGATATTTTAAGCAGTTATTTATTTTATACTTGTTTTGCATTTTATACAATTTTGTTCAAAGCCACATAGATGTATAATATTTTGTTACTGTAACAACAGCCTCCTAATGAAAAAATCACTTAAAGGATACTTGAAAAGTACAAGTTTTATTAATGCACTGTTCTTTAAAATATATATACTAGTTAGAAATTATCTTCGACGATAGTTCATCTAAAACAGTTTTGTAAAAAAATACAAGTGCTTCAAAGACCTAGTCCCAAAAAGGAGGCTCGAATATCGTGTAAATTCTTAACATTTAAAAATAGAATGTTAAATAGTAATGTCCATCTTTGGCATTTGTTGTAATATAGATATATCACTTTCATCTGCAAGGTCTGATTTTATAATAAAATATATATGACAGATATAATTGTTACACGAGATCAAAATACACCCTCGAATTTCATACAAGAGGATTCAACAAACGTATATATAAATGTGTATATATGCACAACATACAACATAGAAATTCCTTCGTAGATATGTAAAAATTGCTACAGTAAATTAATTTGTTCGATAACGAAAGGAACTAAATAATCTCACATGTACGTACTCGCAATGAATTATTAAATCTGCGTCTAAGACAAAAATAAATATTATAAAAATATTTTACATCATATAACATTCTAAAAAATAAATAAATTAATTTCAAAATGGAACTACTGAAATGAATCTAAAATTCATGAAACCTATTTGGCTTTAGGCGTTAAAAATGTAAAGAATATTCTCATCATTGAAGTGAGAAGTACCATCAATATGTTGTAATACTCTGCTATCTAACAAGCTACGACCGTATCGAACTGCTTCATTTCTATCTTGTGCAATGCCAGCTTCGAGTAGCCAATTAACTAAATCAGTTCCGGTGAAAACACCTTTGTACATCTTTAACATGCGCCTGCGACAGAAGGCAATACGAGCTCGACACTCGGCTAAGTGGCATCGGTTGAATTGTTCCCGGATCATCTTTACCTCTGTGCTTAGCTCATCTTCATGTGGTAACTGCAATTCTTTCCCTAAAAACATTTCATATATACAACATACATTAAACGTGTCAAAAACATGAATTAAGAAGTTGATCCTGTATTTTAGATGACATTTACACATCGTATAAATGACATTAAAATTGATCATGTACATATAAGGTAGCAATAAAAGAGTAAAAGAGTACTGTAGAGCATCCATAAACGGGTGAAAAACAGAAAATTGATATAACATCTACAATAGTTAATTAGAAAACGAATTAAATAATTCAGTATCATAATTCATAATTTTTAACGACTGATATCTTAGTGGAATGAATAGAAAGAATAATGATCCCACCGACACGCCATTCCCGGCACATTTTTCTGAACCAGCAGCCCAGTTTCCCTAGGCCAGGGTCCAAGCCGAAGATAGCAAATGCGATTAATGATTGGCCAAAGTTCAAAGCAACGTCCAAGAATGTCAGTTCCGCGTAAACTCCCGTCAATTGTTCCATAATTAGTGTCCCAATCGATATAGATAAGCCCTGTCGCAGAGTTGTGTAATACTGATTACATTGCAACTACACGATAACACGCGGTTGACAATTGCGCATATTGCCAACGGAAAATTCTGCTGTTTACTTACAATAAACATAGAGCATAGAAGCAAAATGAGAAATACTAGATGTCGAAGTATTTGCGGATCGTCTGCTGCGTCGCGTTCGTTCAGCAGATACAAATCGCAGTCATTAATTTCGTTATTGTTACCTCTGCATACGCCATTCGGACAGCTTTCCGAATATTCACAGCCAATACTGAAATTATGTGGTAAACCTATGAGGTAACAATGCATGTGTCCTCTATACGATACTGTTCGACATAAATATATTTGTTGAACAGTATAATTTACAATTTGCTTATACAAATTGTACTTACATTGGGGTGCTGGAGGTAGGCGAAACTAAATCCTCGACGTCTACTACGCGTCTTTCGGTACTGTCATCTGCGGAATTTTCTATATTGCCTGTTAAATTTCTGTAAGACGCTGAGACGTGTTGACGCTGGTATCTCTGTTGTAGAATCAAACACCCCAAGGTCACTACAAAAAAAAAAGATAAAGTTAACAGAAGGTTTTTGACCTTATTTATATTTTCGTCCAGTATCAACATACCTATAAAACAAAATATTAACACGAGCGTAGATGTGGCAGCTTGGGTTCTACCAAGTTGAAAGTTAGGGTTCCTGAAGTCAACTACTATTTGCTTTGGACTTAATGTGCTACACAATGTAATTGCTATTAAAAGTGGAATCCTGCAAGCATATATAACTTGTAACTATGTTGCTACGTTATTTATCGTAAACATAAATTATTATTTCTCAACATACCCCCATGCAACAGGAAAAAACCATTTCTGCATGTTCTTGACAAAGTTCAAAGAACGAGAACTTAGGTACAATAAGGTTGCTGCTATGGCCATTGTCCACATGCGACATGCGTAAACACCAGTGGTTATTAAAATGAATTGGATGTACCTGCGGTAAAATGTAATTTATAATATGCACTGTTCAAATGGGTAAAATGAAGAGTAAGGATTAGATTACCATAAGAGTGACCCATTGCTATGTTCGTCAAGTTTGGTCCAGATGATCACACCTATAGCTGTGGCTAGCTGAAAACGTGAACATCTATATAAAAATATTTAATGCATATTGTGCGTATTTTAAAGTGAAATACATTGGTACAAACCTGTGCAACTACAATGCACAATGTGCATCGATGAGTAACACATTTATACTTCTTTCTTTTCAATCCTACAAAACAAATTATCAACCATATGCAAACTATTATTGAAGCAATGCTCACATCGAAGGAGAATACATTCAGATGATGTACATAATTTACTGGTGTAACTCCAGCAGAAACTGCATCAATTAATTTCGCTGACACAAACATAAGTGGTGCAGAAATAAATGTACAAGCAACCATTGCTGATGCTATCAAGTCAGTTTCAAGATTGTATCGAAGAGTGAAAATGAATAAAGCTGGAGCTGTTGGTATAGTTCCGTACAAAAACCCGTATGTACTCAGGTCTTGGGTGTCTGTAACATTCTCTCCAGCATCCAACAAAATAATAGATTCTCTTATGACCAATGGAAGCACCAACAGTTTCACAGATATCAATATGCTTGGTATAACCAAAGCAGTGCCCTTCAAATTGTGCACTTTCCCAACCATCATTAAACCAAGCAGAAAAAGTGCACTAGCAGAGAATGCATTGCCAAATACATCTAAAACAGTAGCAAGTACACACGGTATTACATGACTGAAAATAAGATTTCCCACTATTCCAAGTACAGTCATGAGAAGTATTGGATTTAATACAATCCCCTTCATTATAGAGTAAATCATATTTTTGTAGTTTCTATGCTCTTCATTCTGGCGCTTGCCAATTTCCAATAATACAAAACCAATTGGGTTCAAAATAGCTAACGATATAGGTGCCATTAGATAAAGGTATGCAGCATATTCGGGGTGTACTTTTCCATACAATGCAGCAACTAGAAAGATACATTATTAGTAATATAATATTATCAAGAGCATATATACATTATGTCCTACTTTACTTACTCATAGGATAACCTATAGCAAAATCGTTACTCTGAGTGGTAAATATTGCAAACAGTGCAGCACAACCTGGATTGGAGGGTCTTTTAATAGCTAGAGATACAGCAAGAACAACAACAAAAATGCAACTCTTTGCTAGCAGAACCGCGAGTAAGAATTTCCAATTTACTAAAGAGAAGTCAAGTTTTGCTAATGATGTGAAAATTAAGGATGGTAGAGCAAATGTTCCTACAAAGGTGTTCAAGCCATTTCCTTCTATTCTTGTGATGATATCGAATCTTCCAGCAATATATCTATAGAAATAAAACGCTATGATGGTTATGATAATAAAATTAGACTTACAAATTGCTGCATAACACCCGCATAATAAAAATTTACCCGCATAATATAATAGCAAAGCATTGTATTAATGCAAGATACAAGTTATCCATGGGTTCATTTCCCATTTGGGAAAGTTGCATTTCTCCTACAGTTGCCATAATTAATAAACTCACAGTTTAACATTTAACGATTACTCTTCTTTTGTGTAGTTTAATTATATACAATTGTCATCTCACTAATATGATTGTACAATTGTACCGTAACGGACAGTTACAAGAAGTAGCATTACAAAATATTAACTTCATGTCAACTTCATTCTTGCTTCTGCTAATACTGCTTTCACAAATACGACCTGAAAAGTAAAAAAAATATACAATAAACAATGTTCTTGTTAAGGTTAACGATCATATGAAAGTTTAATTCATTCACACAAATAACATTGCGGATGCAGCACTGGATGAATGAATTAAATTCTCATATGATCAACAGGTCAGTATTGTTATTTATTACAAATGTATTATAATATTGAATCATTTGATGTGACAGCTGACATATGTTCGCGTTAGAGACAGTAAAACAAGATATACGACGCTACAGTTTTTATTATCAATCATTAAGGAGTATAAAGCAAATTAATTGCAAGATGAAAGTAATTATCGTGCTACTTATACGAGAACTTCACTTATCGTGAATCACTGCGGACATGTCTAGCGTGTTGATTATGTCTTTCGTGCACGATAAGAAATTAAATAAGTACGCACAAGAGACTGCTTGTAATCTTGTCAACAAGATCGCGGCAGTTATCAATAGTATTCAAACGTAGCAAAAATTACTGATATATACAACACTAGGTTCACAAAATATTCAGAATATGTATACCGTACACGTTCTGCATATGTGCAATTTTCAATCTTATCGGGGCGCACGCGACATCGATAATTCTCCGCTGATTCATCCGATTGGTCGCTCTCTCTATCACGTGCCCTCGACGAAACTTGTCAGAGAATAATATTTGAATTTCATATTCGCAACGGACTTGATATTTTTCACCAGTTACTTAATGAAAATGTCTTTAAGAAATCAAAGATTAACAATCGAAAATTTCTTAATAAATTATTGTATAACGATAGCAATTTTAACTGTAAACCAACGAGTTATTTTTAGCAACGTAATTCATAGTAACTTATCTTGAGATTATAAATTCCGATCAAATCAAATATTAAGAATTCAAAGGTCAATTGCGCTATGGATATCAAAAATTAATTTTAATTACATTAAACGTTGCCCAATACTGATGCATACGAAGATAATCCACAAGAATTAAGAATCTGGCCTAAACATTGTGTATTGTGATGTAGGTAATAATAGGTAAAATAAAATAGCGTACAAAATGTTTAACTTGGAAACGATTAAATTTTTAATAAATATTATTCAATAACATCCGTTCGTTACGCGAGCCCGTGACTGTCAAGGTCTAATCGGGGTTAAACATTGATTATTGGTCTAAGCGGTAATATCCAGATGGAAATATCCAAATAACAGTTTTTCCAGTTCTGAATAATACGCGATGCATATCAGGTTATATTTAATCAATCGAATGGTCAATACATTCGATACATTCTACAATTTGTTTATTTCACAATTCCGCTCATATGTATATGTGTATAAGAAACGTATTCAACGCGTAAATACATGGGACAACTGCGACGCTGCGCAGAAGAATAAAAAAATATTCTTTATCGTTCGTCGAAGAAAAATTTGCTTGGCTGTCCGCACTGATAAGCCAGAATAATCGCATCAATGTTGAAACATATTGGAAAACTACGTTGCAGCAGACTTTGTACTCGGACGCAACGCAAAATAAGTCTTCATCGGATGTTTCAACATCAAACATCCTAAATATTTTGTACTAATACCACTTACAGAAATGTTTAAACATACAGAGAGATTGATGTGAATTTAAGAAGTTTGTTAGAAAACGCAGTTCATTCAGTTAGATCTTGCACGTATACATACATCCACACGCGTGTGCGTGTGGACACGCGTGTGGATGCTGTACCGCTCACGCACTAGAGAAGTGACAGGTAGAACGTACGTTTACGTCACTGACCTCCATGAATTATAAATTCCTTGCACCTTGCACAACAATTGCAATCTAGAGAGAGTGAGAGAGAGAGAGAGAGAGAGAGAGAGAGAGAGAGAGAGAGAGAGAGAGACGTACTCGACAAATTCTTTCGAANTGACATATGTTCGCGTTAGAGACAGTAAAACAAGATATACGACGCTACAGTTTTTATTATCAATCATTAAGGAGTATAAAGCAAATTAATTGCAAGATGAAAGTAATTATCGTGCTACTTATACGAGAACTTCACTTATCGTGAATCACTGCGGACATGTCTAGCGTGTTGATTATGTCTTTCGTGCACGATAAGAAATTAAATAAGTACGCACAAGAGACTGCTTGTAATCTTGTCAACAAGATCGCGGCAGTTATCAATAGTATTCAAACGTAGCAAAAATTACTGATATATACAACACTAGGTTCACAAAATATTCAGAATATGTATACCGTACACGTTCTGCATATGTGCAATTTTCAATCTTATCGGGGCGCACGCGACATCGATAATTCTCCGCTGATTCATCCGATTGGTCGCTCTCTCTATCACGTGCCCTCGACGAAACTTGTCAGAGAATAATATTTGAATTTCATATTCGCAACGGACTTGATATTTTTCACCAGTTACTTAATGAAAATGTCTTTAAGAAATCAAAGATTAACAATCGAAAATTTCTTAATAAATTATTGTATAACGATAGCAATTTTAACTGTAAACCAACGAGTTATTTTTAGCAACGTAATTCATAGTAACTTATCTTGAGATTATAAATTCCGATCAAATCAAATATTAAGAATTCAAAGGTCAATTGCGCTATGGATATCAAAAATTAATTTTAATTACATTAAACGTTGCCCAATACTGATGCATACGAAGATAATCCACAAGAATTAAGAATCTGGCCTAAACATTGTGTATTGTGATGTAGGTAATAATAGGTAAAATAAAATAGCGTACAAAATGTTTAACTTGGAAACGATTAAATTTTTAATAAATATTATTCAATAACATCCGTTCGTTACGCGAGCCCGTGACTGTCAAGGTCTAATCGGGGTTAAACATTGATTATTGGTCTAAGCGGTAATATCCAGATGGAAATATCCAAATAACAGTTTTTCCAGTTCTGAATAATACGCGATGCATATCAGGTTATATTTAATCAATCGAATGGTCAATACATTCGATACATTCTACAATTTGTTTATTTCACAATTCCGCTCATATGTATATGTGTATAAGAAACGTATTCAACGCGTAAATACATGGGACAACTGCGACGCTGCGCAGAAGAATAAAAAAATATTCTTTATCGTTCGTCGAAGAAAAATTTGCTTGGCTGTCCGCACTGATAAGCCAGAATAATCGCATCAATGTTGAAACATATTGGAAAACTACGTTGCAGCAGACTTTGTACTCGGACGCAACGCAAAATAAGTCTTCATCGGATGTTTCAACATCAAACATCCTAAATATTTTGTACTAATACCACTTACAGAAATGTTTAAACATACAGAGAGATTGATGTGAATTTAAGAAGTTTGTTAGAAAACGCAGTTCATTCAGTTAGATCTTGCACGTATACATACATCCACACGCGTGTGCGTGTGGACACGCGTGTGGATGCTGTACCGCTCACGCACTAGAGAAGTGACAGGTAGAACGTACGTTTACGTCACTGACCTCCATGAATTATAAATTCCTTGCACCTTGCACAACAATTGCAATCTAGAGAGAGTGAGAGAGAGAGAGAGAGAGAGAGAGAGAGAGAGAGAGAGAGAGAGAGACGTACTCGACAAATTCTTTCGAACTGATCCGCGCTTAATCTATCGATCGAGAGGTTAGCAGAAACTCATAAACACATCCTGAGAACGAAGCATCTACATATAGGAAGCCCCTGTTACATGCTTCCCTGTTCGTGGATTTATTCATCGCACGTATGATTCATCCGTAACACGAAACTGTTTCCACACAATGCCTCGAATGGAAAGTTCATTCGATAGATAATAAAAAATATCTTTTCGCGTATGTGCGACAGTGCTAAATTATCACTGTGGAAAGGAATAATTATGCCGACTATCTGTAACTGTTTTACAGATAGGAAAACTACATACCGTGCAAACTGTACATATTTTTCTACTTATTGTAAAACATAGTAAAGCCACAGAAAATGATTGCGCAACAATGCCACGTAGTTATAATTCAATTCAGACGATCTTATTGTTACGAGTCAAATCTGGCCAAATTCCATCGAAACAGTTGGTTTACTTCCAATTTACTTGAATAAATCAAATTACTGCGCCGCAAATTCATTCTAATCGACATATGTATGTACAAATGTATGTATGTATATATACGTGTAGAATTGGTATCAGATCACATTATTATCACGTGGCCGATAGGCAGCGCTTTTAACGCGATTATGTAGTAATTTGCACGTGTATAAGCTTATACGTGAATTAAAGATATCGTGACGTCAATCGATCACTAAGGCGACGCACGGTTCTCGTTATTGCGATAAGATTTTCGTTCCACAAAGGAAAACGAAGTAAAATTCCGTTTCAAGGTCATGTTGAATTAGGTTGTTAGAAAGTCCCAGTCGAAGGAGCATGACGGGCGGCATGCAAGGCCAAAAGGAACCCAGAGTCCAGGTTTATCCAGTTTTTCCTGGAACTCGCATGTAATTGCGTTAGCGTTTCCGTTCGAAGAGAGTCGTTACTCATCATGACGTACTTCAAGCCAGACGATGCTGACGTAAGGCTTCGATAGCCGAACAGCTGGAAAACGGTTCAATTTCCAGAGGCGCGTTTACGCCCAGCCAATCGCATTATAGAAGATTATGGTCCCTGATGCATCCTGATGTTCCTTCAAAATATTACATATGTATTGTACAGAAGTATTTGCCAACGAAGAATCGTTTCGAATGCGTCTCGAATCGAATCTTCGAATTTTTCTAATTTTTATCGAATAGAGCTAACAATAAGAATAAGACAATCGTCGGATGTAACACGAGAAAGCAGTCACAGCAGTAGGCTCACCTAACATTAAATAAAAAGAGGAGATCGGTTTCCTGGTTTACATTTACAAAGGAAAAAAGAAACGTGCGCGATCTGCGTCTTCTAAACTTTGCATGGAGGATGGCGGTCACGTGGCGACCTATCGAAGACTGACGCGCTGCAGGAGGGGGAAGGGCGATAGACTCTGAACATATATAATCTTCCCGCTCGCGTTCCACCACCCAGTTCCACTCGGACTTCGGACACGTGAATTGTGCCAAGCTTTCAAGGAGGGAAAGTTTTTGTTTGTTTGGTGTGCTCATTGTATGGGTAAGCTGCACACGAATTTTCTGCTTTTCCGCTCTTCTCTTTAGCCATGACAAATGATTCTAATGTCCGTCCGTGGGCGAAATACCCGATGGGTAACTGTAATTCGTCCCTTCATAAACATTCAACATTCTCTGCGTATGATTTAAATAGGACAATATCCTTTTTATTCCGAATGCGCGTATTTGTTCATTGAGTTAGAATAATTGATGACGTAACGAACGACACCCACAAAATTTGATGATATATACGCAATGCTTAGGGTAGATCGAGTCGAGGATGCGCGCAGCAAAACGTAAACAAATGTTCATATTGTTTCGTTAATATCATTCGTATTTGACAATTTAATTTGTTTCGTAATAATTGCTAATGCTGTTAAGGCTTTTAAATATCTTGTTTTCCCACTATTTTTCACGAAACCGTTTGCAATTTGTTTGTGTCGCTCTTATGACAGTTTTAAAGGGCAAAATGATAGGAAACGGATATGTTTATATTTTATAACGCTCGAATACGTTAACAGGATTGGCAATTGTATTCATTCGAATTAGTTTACAAGGCGAATTGTGTAAATGAAAAATTAGTAACATAGTGCGACGAAGGTCGCACTAGACACGTGGCTTGCTATATATTTATTTGGTCGTGCATTGATTCACGCCACGTATACATACCGTCGCCATGTTGGACACCAAACCAACGACAAAACCGATCTCTGCGCTTATTTCGCAAATTTTATCGTACGGGACGGTGCTGATTCGTGTTCTCAAATAGCAGTGGACTTCCGGTAAATTAATCTAACGTCTGAAGTAGTGATTATCGAATGTAGAGCTCTAATTCTACTTATCAGGAGACGTTAAGCCTTAGTGATAAGGATCTATTGATAACGTATCATTACAGTAATACTCCGTGGTTTTCAAAGGGTACTTGAACGTATTTTTAGAGATATATTCGTTTTACAGAGCGAGAGAAGAGTATAAAACACGGAGAGAGCCCTGTGGAGCCAACAAGCAGCTGCAGGGATGAGCATGGCTTTGTGCCAATGGTTGGCCGTTGGGGAAGCGAATGGCCAAGTTGACTCGGAACGGCAGATATATGGTGCCAGCCACAGGGGCAGGCACGCGGGCCCTGGATCAGGGGTGTGCCGCTACCCCTGCCGGTGTGGGCCCATTACGAGTCACCAGCCCTGACCGTGTCAACGGTCGAACTGTATGAGGAACTAGCAGGCAGCGTTGAATTAGAAACTCAACACCTACTGCGTGAGCTTCGCTACGATACCATTGGCAACTTCCTAAAGTAATTATACTACCAACTGGGGTAACTTTGGCTTTCGTAAATTATTTTTTAAATACATTGTCACGTAACACATTTTGTTTAACAATTATTAGGTTCTACAAGGACTATGTTGCAAGCGGTGAAAATGTGTTGGAAAGATTTTATCGCAAATATCAACCACTCATAACTACAGAACATCATACATGTGTGGGTCTAGGATTCGAGTTACTACACCGGTTGAGGGGTTTAAATAAAAGATTTCCTGGTATATCAAGTGGCCTCTATTTGGTGTCCTGTGAGGAGGTATGTTAGATAAGATCGCTTATGTATCGCGTATATTCAACGATGAAAGAAATGTTTAACTGAAGGAAACGTTTATTTTCAGACTATTTGCAACGTTGCTAGTTATGTCGGTGGACCACCTGCTGCGGACAGCGGCGAGAAAGAACATGTCCTAGTGTGCCTAAAGATTGAAATAAACGGGCGACGGGGTGTTATGCTTCTCGACCCTGGATATCACGTAGCTCGAGTTATTACTGTAATGGAAGATAAGTTATACCCGCATACAGGTTGGTTCATTCAGTCGGACGAACCAAATTGTAAGAGAGAGTACAACTATTTTCTGTGTGCTAATGATCCCGATTACGTTGAATGGCACGAGAGAAAAATCTGCGTGGATGCTTTGGAAAGAACACAAGTTGCTCTTATATACATAGCAAGGCCATATTTAACTGCTATCGATGTTACAGAACGTAGAAATCTGGTTTATAATTTCAGAAGTCTCCTTGCAAGAGACACGAAAGGCCATGTTACCGCCGGCGTGTATTTCCCTGTTGTACTAGACATGAACAATGCACAGACTTTTACAATTTTTTATCAGACTAATAATGGTAAAAAACGGGTCAAAATGGCATTTAGTAAATTCTACGGTTCACCAAAAGTAAATGTCCATCCGTTTACTTTATGAATTGTTTTATGCACGTGTGGTTATTCGTTTATAAACGATAAAATACTTGTTTCAGATTGATCTCAACGCCGAAGAGAAGGAAATTCTTGGAGAGTGTGCTAGGCAATTAAATTTGCAACATGAAACGTTGGAAGATCTACTCTCTGCTCTTGCTGTAGTCATGAGCGATTCAGCCTTTGTGGCGCAACTTCTGGCTATCAACACAAGAATATCTACTTTAGCAGAAGACAATTAACAGACGCCAATTCACCCTGAGAGGTGTAAACAAGATAAAACATATTATCGTTTTGCTGGCTTTCCTCTTACTTTCATTTTTCTTTTATTTATTACCATGTTAATGGTTTATCATTACGTATTGGAAAGGTTAATTTTATTCTTGTTATTATATAGAGCTTGATATTTTTAAGAGGAGTCTTAATAAAAATATATTGTATTTTCCGCAATAGTATTGGTTCGAATGAAAATGTTAGTAAGGTATATACTTATAATTTTTTGGGGAATTGTTAATATTCAATAACGTTTTACATCATTTATAAATTGTTTTTATTATCATTTGCATATATTAATTAGCGTTTAGTGTGAAGCTTTAGGAGCTACTGGGTACTCCACGTTTTTTATCAAAACAGCCACAAATAAGGCTAAATTAATTTATCGCTTATATAGAAGTTCATTGAGACTTGATTGTATTAGGGACACTTCGTATTCGATTGTTTTATTATTATTACTATTATTAAGTTTGGGTTTTGAATTATGCTACATCTATTTTTTGTATTTGAATGAACATTGACAAAGGGAAACAATATTATGTAGTTGCTAATTTATTGATAAATACACTACCCCAAAATATGTTCCTTCTTATATTTGGCATTGTTGAATACACTCTTGAAGAACGCATGTTAGATTAAATATATTTTCTGTACCGGAAACAAAAAGAAATACAACGAATAATTTGAGATTGTTTGAACATAACCACGGACAATAAGTCTTCTACAAAAATAAAATACTTCGAATCCCAGCAGGCAATACTTCAACAATTATTTGAACCGTACACAAATTATTGTATCGAGATTTGTTTACTTATGAACTAAATTTTCGAAAAAACAATAATCAATCAACAGTCCTTTGACCATCTGTGTACGTGTTCAAAGCAACATAATATACTTTTTACCCATTCCTACTCTCATACTTTCCATTCAACATCCTTATATGTTATCCTACAGAATCTCTACATATAGTTATATTTTATTACTCACATAGATGCTAATAGTACCTCTATGTGTAAAATGGAAAGTAACTGCAGTGAACCTCGGTAAACAAACACATTACATTTTAAATAATTAAATTATCACTATCGTCTCAAAAACGCTAAAAAAGCATGTCAAAATGTATAAGAAAATGTTATGAAATACTTGTTTTACGGATTATGTAGTTTTATAGATAGAATTAATCATTCTTTTGCATGTTTTCATTGGCCTCTACTTTAAACGACGATGTTACCAAAGTTCTGCAGTGTTGCCAGAATATAATTTAAATGATTTTAGCAGAAGATCTAAATATTACTATCGGATACTGCGTGACGCTTCTTGCTAACTTTTACATCCGGTGTATGTTCACGTTTTCGATTTCCTGTTACGCTTGGAGCAGATGTTGATGATGATGATGTTGCTGTTGCTGTTGCTGCTGCTGCTCCTGCTACTACTGCTGCTGTTGGTTTAGCTGTGTCAGTGGGCTTGCCACGACCAGATGTATCGGAACTGTGAACAGTTAATGTTAAAAATCAGTATCCATTATTTGCCTTGTAATCGAACAAATATAAAGAAGGAATTGCCCTGTTGTTACGTAATTAGTCCATGTGTAAACAAAATTCAAAAAGTATTTTATAAATGGTAGCACATTTTAATTCGATAAAAAAAACTAGTTAAATTACATGATAGACACACATCAGTATATTAAATAACGTTGAGTAAAAGTAACTTGAAATTAATTGCAACGTACTTACGTTGCAAAAGTGTCACCATTGTATACTTGTGTTACTTTATTTAATATTTGCGGCTGTACCTGTAATACACAATATGGTATATTCCATACCAGTGTCTTCTGCTACATTATACGAATAACGTAAGATAAATAATAAATTGTCAAATAAATGCAGCCATCGATTCCTCTGTACCCGATGTACACACAGAGGCAACATTGATATAACAACAAAATAATTTAAAAGAAATACCAAAAAAGTAAAAATAGATTTAGACAGCCACAAAACTAATAGACCTATCCAGTAATTGAACATGCAGCAAATAAAGCCCATAAATTTTACCAATATGTACCAATACCATATACTATGTACTACATTACAATTGCAAACTCGAACTTGATGAATTGCATGTACCTAATTTATTATTGAACATATTATCACCTTTACTATGCAGAATGTTAATAAAGTCACATCGAACAGAGCATCCAAAAAAATTTCTGTTGCTTTTGAAGATGGGACAAAATGTCTCCAAGATCATTTGAAGGTCATCGATATAATAGTGCTATTATATACTGTAGAGATCGTAGCATGGTAACTGTATTCGAAACGACTTCAATGACATAGGATATTATGATCTTGAATCCAGGAATACATTTTCTTCTATCTCCAATAGTAATAGAAATTGCTAGATGTTCCGTTTTACGTGATTCATCCTATATAAACACATGGACGTTCACTAAACTGTTGATTGGTAATTTATTTATTGAATAAAGTTGTGAATATCAGACTTACCTCAAAGGAAGAGGAGTGTTGTGTGTTTTAGATGTATGTGAAGGTCTAATACTACGTCTGGAAGAAGGTACCCATCTCGAAGAATTAGAGTATCGACTATGAAAGCATATAATAAGCACATCAATACCATGGAAAGAAAATTATAATAATAATAGAAAATAAAATAGGAACCACTAAAAGCTGTTTGCAACTTCCGATAATACGTATCGTTAACATGCAAGTAAACAAAGAAAAGCAAGTACAACATTATGTGATTTATTATCGTTTTATTTATACCTCTTATAATTTGGACGTTCTTTTATACAGCTGATCATAAAGTAGCATTTGTTGACTCTTCGTGTATTGTTTCAATATGGAATGGCTAATTTATTATCATAATGATGTACATATAAATAAATGTTAAATGAGCGAGAGATTCAAAGAACCGAAATGTACCGAATATTATTTGGAGAATGTAAATATCACCAGGATAGAATAATGCAAATGCAGCTAGTGGACATGCTACACAGAAAATAAATATAGAGTCATGCATTATTTTATTCTAATGCTTGGTACAAAATTTTGATAGGAAATGCTCGAAGTGAGGTAGAAGTAACAGCGTGATGTGATCCCGTTTCTCCCTTCACTTTTTTTTACTGGCACGCCTTCTGGATTTCTTAAACCCGCTGTGTAAATTCGAATTCGTCAGTGATGTTCTTATACAGATTTACATCTACATTTAATATGCTATCACTTTACCAAAATAAGTAATTCTATATGTATAATCTTGCATGCTTACTTTATAGTTGCATGCTGCATGCATTAGAAGTATGTAGAATGATCCTCATTTTTTGTAATTTAAATAAACTTATAGTTTTCTTTAAAAGATCCTACCTTCAATATATACTCTCTGAAGCGTTTCTTTGTTATATAAAAATATAAAATTAGGGAACCAACCTTCCTCCAGATGGATCAGGCAAAGCAAGTTGTCGATGGTCCGGGCGGCTTCTGTGACCATGATTGCCATAATGAGAATTGCCAATAGATCCAACTGCATTGCGAGTACGTGATTCCCATTCGTTATTGAAACTCTCTGCTTCCTCTAGAAAATAATATTTACAATTTAGTTTCTCAAAAAAAAAAAAGAGAAAGGAACTCATAGCAACGATAATGCTCAACAAATTTCGATACTTTTCTTTTATGGTACTGGTCAGGTTCAACGTATATAAAAGTAGCACACCTTCGTCAAGATTGATAAACTCTTGACGTTCCTCTTGGTCACCATTATGAACATTATGTTCACGCTCCAGAATGTGTGCTCTCTCTCCAATGTGATGACCAATGGCCATTTTCTTGACTCCAGTACGAGAATCAGAAACTGTTTTCTTCGTTTCCTTCACCCCACCAGGAGCAGTTGTTGTTGACATGGTTTCCTGGTATACTTGTGGACGACCATCTGGACCATTAGCCATGGTCATCACAGATCTAGTAGTGAAAGAATGGCAATTTCCACCTTGGGCCACATTATCCTATACATAAAGAAAATAAAAATGATTTTATGATCATTTTGAATACAAATGATTAAGCAATATATAGATATTAAATTACTAACAAAGTCTCTAAATACTGTGTTCATATTGAATGATGGCATTAGAGGAAATCCAAATGGCATCATCTGGAGATTACTTTGAGGGTGTCTAGCCCCATGTCCACCATTTGTAATGGCATTCTGTCCCATCATACCAAATGGGTCACTAAATATTGAATTCATCATGTCATTCATCTGTCTCATAGATCTCATTTGAGAACTGAAATAAAAAATTAATAACAATTTTAATTTACTTCATTTACTTGTAACAGAATTTCAATCGTGTACCAAAGTTCAATTAATTGGATTAATTAAATGAGGGTTATAAAAAAAAGGAGTAAAGGAGGAGGAACTAAAACAAAATTTAATTACTATGGCAACTACGATTCAATACGAAATTTAAATGATTTTTAACCGCTCAATTGTTCAAATCTTTTAAATCGATCCTATGTAAAAGATTTTTTATTAATAAACTCATTTGCAGATTTTGTTACTTTTACTTCCGTTTCGAATAAAAGTGACAAATGTGTCACGCAACTCTAACATATTTAGGAGTTGCGACAGTTGAGGCAATGTGCTGGAAAAACACTTTGGTAACAATTTTTTGTTCCAAACGTTTACCTGCCCTTAGTAATTACGTGCGACCATTGCAACGTATTGCAGAAACGTATAATTTGCAAATATGTTCGAGTAAAAGCGATGAATATTTCAACGAAAATTATTGGTTGTACATGGCATGCGAATAGAGACTAAAAGTGATTTTGTTTGAACTTACCCAAAAAAAGGATCGTCGTCGAGATCACCCATCAGTGATCCGAACAAGGACATTTTGGAAAACAGTCGATCTGGTACTGTTTCTACAGAAAAAAATGTACAATCGGCAGGAGAGAATCAAGAAATTGCTAATACTTCGTCGATCGAGACGTCCGTTTCTGCAACGATATTCTCTTCTAGAACACCTTCGAAATTTCTGGATCGCACGTAAACGTAAACGAAATATCTAATAACGTCTAGCTCGGCCGTTTATCTACCTTAAAACGAACACGAACCAAATAGTATGCGAATAGTTGACGAACCTCTTTCTGGAATGTCACCAGGTAAAACGGAGACTCTCTCTTAAGTTTCGATATTCGATGGTGTACAAACAAGAAACTACCACGTAAAATTTATTATAAAAGAGAAAGGCTTAAATTACATTTTAGTATCTTTGTTCTTAATGATCAAAAATTGCTGAATTTTTCCGAAGCGATATATGCAAATGTCAACGTTACTTTTTCCAAATTGTTGCTGTACCGTGCGGAACTGGAGGGTGAGTGAAACGTGCAATTAAAAAGTCGTTTAATCAACCAATCATCTGCAAGGAGACTTCTGTACAGACCTAATTCTGTACAGTGTATGGTACATAAAATCTTAAAATAGCGCTTAGAGCATTTATACCTATATATGCTCTAAGAAATAGCGTCATTTCACGTATGTAGTAGTAAGCCGTTCAAATTATTGAGTAACGTGACCAACAGAGAAAAATAAGGACCGCCGTCCCTCAGATCCGTGTCAAATCCGTACGATAGTGGAGCCTCTTTTGGCAGAATCTCGAAGCTTCGACTAGAGGTTCATACAGCGCCTACGTATCTAGTGTCAAAACGCTTTTACCAACAGTCGATTTTGGCTTCTCTTATGTGAAAAATGGCAAGAATCATTTGTTCCTGATTCTTATCAATGTTCTAATTACTTGCACGAATAATTAAGAACCTGTATAGCAAGTAGATTAGGCGTTTTTACAAAAATATAACTGCAATTTTCACAGTGGGATACATTTACGGGTGTAAGTAATTTTTGAAACGGTAGAATACATAAATTCGTTTATAACAGTCTTGTTCGCGGCGTTTCAATATAGTTAAATGCATTGGAATAATTGACGTCACGGTCGGATAATGGTCGTAAAAATTAGAAGATCCCATGATCTTTAGTAATGAACCGACAAAACTGGTAGACAGTATATATAGCCAGCTCTTTGACTTCCAGATGTTCAGCTAATTGTGTATTGGTCAATAGAGAGAGCACGATCAGTCAATTAATACTGCAGATTTGTTGATCTTCGCAACGCTGTTGACGGAGATGCGTCAGATGACCCGATGGATAAAGTTCAATTAATATCGCAAGGACAACTTTACCAAGGGATAAAACACATTAACATTAACAAAATTTCCTCGTCATATTTAGTTATTCTTATTGCATTTCAGCTGCAGTTTATAAAAAAAATACAGGTATTTCTTATGCGGTAGTACATTCACCTACTCTCGGGAAGTATAGGTCGTGTCGAAGAAGTGGCGAAACATAAATAATTTCAAGCTCGGACAACAGAGACACAACGTTTCAGTATATTCATCCGATCCAGTTTTACCTTCACGCGGACTTATAAATTCGGGAAAGAAACTAAAAAAAGCACATGCCGAAAATTAGCAATACAAATATTCTTCGGATCTCGATGGAGAACCGCTGGGCAGCATTGATTGGCTAACGAAGACGTGGCGGCACGTTCGAGCCAGCGGAAGAAACTAATGAAAATCGAGGCTGCTTTGCGCCAAAAGATTCGTGTTTCCGGTCAATCAGCCGAAAACAATCGAATCGCATGCCCGAGAATTCTGCATACATACATATTAGTACAGTACACTATGTATGAAAACCTAGTGAATCACCAGATGGTGCAGAATTGTAGAAATTTATTACCCAAACAAAAAGTATCGTAACCTGTTGCTTGCTGTACATAAACTGAACCTTGAAATTTTCATGATAAAATGAAGAAGCATGTTTGTGTTCTATGGGAAAATGTACCATACGAGCTTTAAAAATAGTTACAGGACCTATCTTATCATGACATGCACGTGCTTCGTCTAATTTTGATTTACGCTTTAAATCAAGAGACTGTTTCATTTAAATTTCCATAGAAAAAAATCAATGAATTTTCATCCTCAGGAACGAAAGAGAGTTGCGTAATGATTTTATTGAACAACCACGATGATAAAATATCGTAGTGATACTTTGTTCACCTTTGTTTAGTGTCAGAAAGAGGAAGAGAGAGAGAGANAATGGCAAGAATCATTTGTTCCTGATTCTTATCAATGTTCTAATTACTTGCACGAATAATTAAGAACCTGTATAGCAAGTAGATTAGGCGTTTTTACAAAAATATAACTGCAATTTTCACAGTGGGATACATTTACGGGTGTAAGTAATTTTTGAAACGGTAGAATACATAAATTCGTTTATAACAGTCTTGTTCGCGGCGTTTCAATATAGTTAAATGCATTGGAATAATTGACGTCACGGTCGGATAATGGTCGTAAAAATTAGAAGATCCCATGATCTTTAGTAATGAACCGACAAAACTGGTAGACAGTATATATAGCCAGCTCTTTGACTTCCAGATGTTCAGCTAATTGTGTATTGGTCAATAGAGAGAGCACGATCAGTCAATTAATACTGCAGATTTGTTGATCTTCGCAACGCTGTTGACGGAGATGCGTCAGATGACCCGATGGATAAAGTTCAATTAATATCGCAAGGACAACTTTACCAAGGGATAAAACACATTAACATTAACAAAATTTCCTCGTCATATTTAGTTATTCTTATTGCATTTCAGCTGCAGTTTATAAAAAAAATACAGGTATTTCTTATGCGGTAGTACATTCACCTACTCTCGGGAAGTATAGGTCGTGTCGAAGAAGTGGCGAAACATAAATAATTTCAAGCTCGGACAACAGAGACACAACGTTTCAGTATATTCATCCGATCCAGTTTTACCTTCACGCGGACTTATAAATTCGGGAAAGAAACTAAAAAAAGCACATGCCGAAAATTAGCAATACAAATATTCTTCGGATCTCGATGGAGAACCGCTGGGCAGCATTGATTGGCTAACGAAGACGTGGCGGCACGTTCGAGCCAGCGGAAGAAACTAATGAAAATCGAGGCTGCTTTGCGCCAAAAGATTCGTGTTTCCGGTCAATCAGCCGAAAACAATCGAATCGCATGCCCGAGAATTCTGCATACATACATATTAGTACAGTACACTATGTATGAAAACCTAGTGAATCACCAGATGGTGCAGAATTGTAGAAATTTATTACCCAAACAAAAAGTATCGTAACCTGTTGCTTGCTGTACATAAACTGAACCTTGAAATTTTCATGATAAAATGAAGAAGCATGTTTGTGTTCTATGGGAAAATGTACCATACGAGCTTTAAAAATAGTTACAGGACCTATCTTATCATGACATGCACGTGCTTCGTCTAATTTTGATTTACGCTTTAAATCAAGAGACTGTTTCATTTAAATTTCCATAGAAAAAAATCAATGAATTTTCATCCTCAGGAACGAAAGAGAGTTGCGTAATGATTTTATTGAACAACCACGATGATAAAATATCGTAGTGATACTTTGTTCACCTTTGTTTAGTGTCAGAAAGAGGAAGAGAGAGAGAGAGAGAGAGAGAGAGAGAGAGAGAGAGAAGGAGAGAGAGAGAGAGAGAATTGTGTAGCTAAGAGCTTGGATCAATGAGAATAAAATATGAATGACCATTTCAGGATCGTTTTTTACTCAACTATGCAGGTTTGATTGACATTTCCTACCAGCTGCGGTAGAAACTGTTCAGTCAACATTATTAATGGAAGAAAATAAAAGAAGACAGCGTTATAGAGATATTGAAATATCATAATGCTAAAACATGAAAAGCCAAAGAAATTAGAAAACTCTCGAACTATTCTATTAAACATTTTTTAATACAAATACTCGAATACGCTCGGTGTATCCGAAGCGACACAATAATTTCAAGCCAGATTGTACCTTCATAGGCGTATATTCAGCATTTTACTGGCGCACATTTTTTCCAACAATTTTTCTTGACAACGTTAATCAATAATCTACTGTAAACATAGCTCGGTCCGACAGTGAAAAACGTGTTGTCCAAAGAACCGATAAATAACATCGATACATACAGCTGTTCTCAAAAGCGTAGACATACGCTGTTCGGCGAGCAACTATATATAAATTTCTCAACGAATTTCAAATCAAATTTTCTATGTTATAGGCTCTGCCGTTCAAGGGAATCCGAGCGTTTAAACAGCTTAACTGGCGCATCAATTGCATCGCGATTCGTCTGCAAAAACGAAAAGGAATAAAACATATAGAGAGGGGCTTGAACTTATTAGGAGCAAAGTGTATACGCGTCTGAAAGGCACACTTGTCGCATCGGTTCTCGGCTGAAATGGTTTGTTGCAGAGACGCCGTTGCAGGACACGGGCTCAGCGTTGTCGTAACGACGTTCCTGACGCTAAACTACGTTGGGCGCATGCGCTCGTTCGAAAGGACCAATCGGAGGAGCGCAGTGCCAACGGAAGGGACATCGGGGGGTCTCTTGGTGGCCTTGCGCGTTCTTCCGATTCCGTGGAGGCAGAAGGCCCGTCCATTTTGCCAGCACGTACGATCCCGGGTAGTCGACGCCGGTGGAAACTGTAATTCCCGTTCGCAACGAGTTCGTATCAGCGAGACAGTGGCTGTCTGTCGGCGGCGATTCCTAGAGGGAACAACATCGTAGATAGCGCGCGTGAGAACCTGCTGCTCGGTCGACATTGGTAGAGGAAGCCGTCGGAGGAGAATCGTTGTCGCAGGGGCCGCGAAACACGTCGCGTACCCGGTTCTCACTCGTTTTGCTGGTGTGCGGTTTTCCAGAGAGATATGGCGGAGCTACAGGGAACCCAGGTCAGCCAGGACGCCCTGGCCGTTGCTCAGCTGGAGCTCGGTGGAAATCCGAATGCCCTAGCGTTGCGTAGGCCGTTCGATCCCGTGGCACATGATCTAGACGCGACCTTCCGCCTTACGCGGTTCGCCGACCTAAAAGGATGAGGGTGTAAGGTCCCTCAGGAGGTTCTTGGGAAACTCCTCGAGGGACTACAGGCAGACGATGGTAACGCACAAGATCATGAACATGCCCACTTCATGCACATGGCCATTCCACGCATCGGTAAGTAGATCCGTGGCCCTTGTTGCGCGCGTACGATGATACCGTCGTGGGCGGACATGTTTGATTTTCTGCCGCGTCTATTTTCTTTGTTTCTAAACAGTTTTTCTGCTATTGTTCGAACACGCGACATATCGTGAATATTCTTACGAACGCTATCGGATGATTATGACAATTTTTCGGAGCGGCTGAAGATTATAGATTTTAAATTTGAGATTTTGCAAAATTTTTGCCGGTTCCGGATTTTTGTAATTAATGATATTTGATGCCGTTTAATAACGTTACGCTTTTGTTTATTTGATTATGTAAGTTTGATCATTTTTCCGACGATCGGAAGGTCTCCGGAAGATACAAATAAACAGATTTGTTATTGGCAAAGCTGAGGGCGGGAATAATAAAATAGTCGGCCCTGTTGTACTGTCAGCCATATTGTCGCCTCCCGCTCGTTTTCTCCCACGCCACCGGAAACACAAGTGTTCTCAACCTCTTAAGAATTTTACCGTACAATCAAAATATACGATATCCATTTCTGGACTCCAAAACATGTACACCGGATTTTGTTTAAACATGACATTTTACTGGATTCATAGTTTTTTTTTTTATAATATGAACTACCGGTGAATCAATTCTTTGAAAAGTGATATTAAGTCCACTTTACTTTTTCTTTGGAGAAAATTTTTAAAAATGCTACTTGATACACTGTGGTTCTTTTAAGGTTCAAATTGGCTGTTTTGTAATATTAAAAAAATATATTAATTACATAAAATGATTCTTCTACTAATTACACCACAAAAATTAGAAGTAAACAATTTGAGCTTAACTATGAACATTATTTTCATGTTACAGGTATTGGTATGGATTCCTCTGTGACTCCACTGAGACACGGTGGGCTCAGTTTGGTCCAGACCACAGATTTCTTCTACCCGTTAGTGGATGATCCATACATGATGGGTAAGATACAAGCGATAACAATTCCTGAATGAGGAACTCTAGATTTTTTAGCTCTCAGTTACATGAAATCGAACGACGTACGATTTTACGAAACTTGAAGAATGGGCCGAGGCCAATTCTATACTGTTGCCTAGTCCTGGTCTCGAAATTTCTTTAGAGTTCGTGATTCGAATAATATTTATGTTTCCTTTGTTAAGGATAAAAATTTGTTATATGGCATCCTGTTTGACCACTGCTATTGGAGTACTTTTCCAGGTAAAATTGCATGCGCTAATGTTATCAGCGATTTGTACGCCATGGGTGTTACGGAGTGTGACAATATGTTAATGTTGCTGGGAGTCAGTACAAAGATGACTGAAAAGGAACGGGACGTTGTCGTTCCGTTGATCATGCGAGGGTTTAAAGATTCTGCCTTGGAAGCTGGCACAACAGTGACAGGAGGTCAAACAGTTGTTAATCCTTGGTGTACAATAGGCGGTGTTGCTTCCACTGTCTGTCAGCCAAATGAATACATTGTGTATGCATTATAACATTAATTATATATTCCATTTTTTTCTCTACGTGCCACCTGATAATAACAATAATCTCTCGATTTAATTCAGGCCAGACAATGCGGTCGTCGGCGATGTCCTTGTGTTAACAAAGCCTCTCGGAACTCAAGTTGCTGTTAATGCCCATCAGTGGTTGGACCAACCAGATCGCTGGAATAGAATCAAACTTGTGGTTAATGAGGATGACGTGAGGAAGGCTTATCAGAGGGCAATGGACAGCATGGCCAGGCTGAATAGAATAGGTACATATTTTTTTATACTCTAAATAATTACTAAAAACATTGATGATCAATTGTTTCGTTTTATCAACAGCGGCCAGACTGATGCATAAGTATAACGCACACGGAGCAACGGACGTCACGGGCTTCGGACTTTTGGGACACGCGCAAAATCTGGCTAAACACCAGAAAAACGAAGTCTCCTTTGTTATTCACAATTTACCTGTTATCGCAAAAATGGCAGCGGTAGCGAAGGCCTGTGGCAATATGTTTCAATTATTGCAAGGTCATTCCGCGGAAACCAGTGGCGGATTACTCATCTGCTTACCTAGAGAACAGGTGTGTAATAAAGTTCCGAGTACTCGAATATCCATTAAAAGATGCGTGTAACCAGTACAAGTACATAAACCATTGATCGTAATGATATTTAGGCTGCGGCGTACTGCAAGGACATTGAAAAGCAAGAGGGATATCAAGCGTGGATCATTGGTATCGTGGAAAAAGGGAACCGTACAGCCAGAATAATTGACAAACCGCGAGTGATAGAGGTTCCAGCTAAAGAGAAGGATGGCGAACTCTGGTAAAACGGTTGCCGTCCCTTCTTTTACCGACATGTATTTAGAAAATACTACGGTCGAAACGCGCATTTACACAAGAGAACCACACCTCACAGATTCAGAGCACTGAAGTGGTGCACTATTTTACAAAGTCTCTTTTCTTTAGATACAAGAAAAAAGTACTGACGAGAACACACACACATTCACACATTTCGTAGCAGTGTCAATTACAGTTTTTGTTCTATAGGTTCAAGACGTGATATAATAACATTAATGACTCTCCTAATTATGCGTTATCTTTATCGAAGTTGAACGGGGATACGATTCACTATCTTTTTTTTATAATATTTGTCAAAAGTTCGAGAAAGCGTTCGTAAAATGTTTTTGGCGGTCTTCCGGGCGACGATGAACGATCATCGAAGAACTCGATGTTGAAGAAACAATGGGGAAACAATTCGAAAAGAAACGTTAAAAGTTAGGTATAGTCTTTCTAGGATTAAGACTAAATGCACGTAAGTCTAGCCTCGGGTAGCACTAGGCTAAACTCTCAATTTGCATTTGATTGAGCTGGCAAATACACGGGCGACGATTGGGTGCTTAAAACGTTGACGAACAACGGTTTCGATTAACGTACGGACAAATGATAGTGGTTACAGAAGATCTATAAATATATTTTAAGGGTGTATACAGCATCAAAAGGTTTTAAAAAAGCGAATCGATGTACATTATAATTAAATCCGTGAGTTCAAGTCGACACGGATACCAACGCAGATCAGAAATTTGTAAGCATTGCTATCCCCCGAATAATAACGGCAGGCATTCGACGCCAACGAGATTACCACGATTTGTAATTCCGAATCTATTGTTAATATAGAACGTGTATAAGATGTCCAATTGGAAGATAAGGCCTTCTCTAGTTCTCTCGTTACATACGCTTTTGAAAATAATTATTAAAAAAAAGAAAGATGAATGCAAAAACAATGCACAGGTCCTAATGTTGTATTACTTTTTCATATGAATAAAGTGCTACTTTGTCAATAAAAAGAAATCACCGTTATTTCAATACGATATATTATTATATATATAATATATTATATTATTTCAATATACGATGTATTATTCCAACTCCGCGTTGCAGGAGGTTCACCTGTGTGACGCTTGGCGCCGATTCGGCAATTATGAAACACCTTGGCTGTTTGCGTCATAGCACGCGTACGTACAACTTTGTCTTTCTAAGGTCGCGCGACTCGGGCAGATGTTCAAGAACAGCCTAAGCTATTTTCTCTTCGTTCTAATTGGCCGATACGATGCTATAGCTCGCGATTGGTTGCGTTGCAAGACGAGGGGGATGCAGATGCGACATGTCGGAGGGAAAGCAGCAGTTCGAAACGCTTGTTCGATCCGGACTTGTGACCCAAAGCAGCCAACACGTCGGTGGCGAAAAGACTAGGCACGTCCGTTCATTGGCTGATCCCTTGTCATTCTGTTCGATAACTGGCCGTGCAATCTGGGTTCACAGGTCAACCACTATAGATCGGCCGATATATTTTCCCTCTGCACGGAATAGTTGTCACTCTCGCGTAAACGTTTCGCGCTCGAAAGGGACCCCACGAGCTCGGCGTGCCGCGTATTTTCGTTCTGTGCGACAATCGGTTTTTCTCTCCGGAGTAACGATCTAATGGTAGCGCTATCCACGTGGTGTTTCAAGGCTGCGGCCTTCAGGGCCGTGATACTGGGCGCCCCGGCATCCGGCAAGGGCACCATGTCCTCCCGAATTATTAAACATTTTAAAGTGACTCACATTTCTAGCGGCGACAAGTTGCGGCTCCACATGAGCAGCGGCACCGGTACGTGCAGAAACCGTCAATCGTTGATCGCATTCCTCCGGATGGTCACAGTCTGAAACGTGGTACCGGACCCCCCCTTGCAGACTCTTCCCGGTTAGCAAAATCATTTCCTCGCGGATCCCGAGCAGATGGCTCGTTTCAGGATACTTTTTCTTATCGATAAGCAGAGTTTAAGCAGTGATTGTCTTTTCTGTTATCGTGCTTGATTAGGTTAAGACTATCTTCATTGATCTTATTACAAAGTTTGAGAGACCGATATCGAATTGCAAATTGTAATCGAGACGATGACATAAGGACACTGTTGATACTATCTATTCGGTAATATCAATTTTGCTCTGTTCTTTCTTGTTTTTATAAAACGCAGGCAGCATCGAAGAACAAGCTCTATTTTTATCTTCGCGCCGAGTGGCTAATCTGTTAAGAGGTCGACGGGTTTTCGTTTTCTTGAATGAAAAACAACGGACAGAGTCGAACCCTTTTCCGAATCGGGATCTATACGAATCGATCGACGAGACAACGGTGGATTTCGTTTAATTTGTTACAAATTAAAGCTTCCCTTGGAGGTTCGCGACAGGGACAAAGTTAAATTGGTCGCGATTAGATTGCCCCTACTCTGATATTATTTTGTAGGATGTTCTTATCATTATGCTCAGCGTTCCATTTAGAAACATCCGAGTTAGATAAATACGTGTCGATATATTTACAAACATTCCCCTGATACGCGACAACAATTTTTGTTTATTTACAGGTGGAAAGTTTGTTGATCGACGACCATATATATATTTTTCAGATTATTACCACGGGTATTCTCGAACTCGAGTACTCGGATACTCGCTCGATCAATTTTAACGAAAAGTTAACGCGGTCATCATTGAATTCCAATGCACACAGAACACCATTATCGCCCGCTCCAAAGTCCAGCGTAACGCCTAATGAATGAGAAGCGATTGGATCGCGAGCATAAATTACAATAAACTGTTTTTGTTTTTTTTTTCAGAATTGGGTAAGAAGGTGGCAAGCTATGTGCTCTCTGGAAAATATGTGCCCGACGAAGTGATGATCTCGATGATAAACAAGGAAATCGAGACGGTGGGCGAGAAAAACTGGCTGTTGGACGGTGAGTGAATAGGATAAAATTGTATCGGCGACATGATGATCGCTGTGTGGCCGTGAACGACGGATGACTGAGCGCGTGCCACTAAATCCGAAATAAATAGTTGGCATTGGTACAGGATTCCCGAGAACGTTGCAGCAGGCGGAAAAGCTGCAGAAGTCTCATCCTGTGAACCTTGTTATCTACCTCGACGTGCCGGTGTCGGTGATTTTGAAACGCGTGGAGAACAGGTGGGTTCACCTGCCCAGCGGCAGAGTCTACAATATTGGATTCAACAGTCCCAAAGTGCCGGTAAGACGGTAGAGGAAATTGTATTCTAATTCAGAAACGGTTCTGGCATCCTGCCACGTGAAATATAACCAATTGAATTATTATTATCGAGCTATACGTTTCTTTTTTCAAGGGCAAAGACGACGTGACTGGAGAACCGCTGTGCAAAAGGGACGACGACAAAGTGGAGATTGTACAGAAAAGACTAGACAATTATGCGAAAGAGAACAATCCAGTTTTAGCTTTCTACGAGAGTGTCGGGATTCTGAAAACTTTCCGCGGTAGCACTACCGACGAACTATGGCCGAATGTCAAGGACACTATCACGAAATTTTTATCGTAGCTATTAAGTGTTGACGCGTATCGTTTTATAAAGCAACGAATTAGTGGAATATTCGAATTTATAGCGATACCAAATGCTTCCAATAAGATGTAATTATTAGAGCTGTTAATTGTCTAGGTACTCGAGTATACGGACTTGAGGTCTCGGTACTCGAGTATCTCAGATCTAAACCGAGTGAGTATCCGAGCAAAAAATAGTTCTAGCAACACAGTAGTACTTGCACAAATGACAAAGAAAAATGACTGTACGTAAAATGAGAGAAATTTATAAAATATTTTTCTGTAATTCTTTTTTTTTTATATATATATATATATGTGTGTGTGTATATATAACGATTACGATATGATTTGAACATTCGTTATCAACCTAGTACAAAATTTTCCAGCTCGTATACAATTCTCACTTGCCTTGCGAACGTTGTACTTGATACTGTATCTTAACATTTTAGATTCAGACGCACATCTTATGATAAGTATTATCATATCAGATTTGGTATTCGAAGAAAGAACGAATATTCGAACAATGATTTAAAACGATATTGCCAATTGTAAATACATTGATTTCTACGTAAGTTGATCATTGGTTCGATTTATGTTTTTTTTTTTTTTAAACCAAATCAATCATTTTACACGAATATTGTATTAACATAATACAAACGGGGGATAAAAAATTGTTAACTCTTGTTTTCTGTCATCGCAGAGCGAAATAAAGTGTGCCTGTGATGGCAAAGAGGTAATTAAACGTCGAAAGATTTATTCTTATAATTCTCTCCATGTTTATTTTGTAACTGTACCGATATAAGAATTTTTAACAATTTTTCTCAGCTGTGTACAGACCTATTAACAATATGAGAATTCATATATATATATATATCATGCTCACATTCTCGTTCACTTCATTTAATTCTCGAAAAAATTAAGTGGTTCCTCAGTTGATAACAGTAGCCTTAAATATAATATGTATATATATATATACGTTCGATTAATCGCACATTTCTCTCTTTCATAACATAAAACGTTATGTCGAATGCAATGATAAGGCGCGACGAGGCGCGAGAACTTAGTATAAGTTCCGAGTAGTCAGAGTAATCGTTAGAGGCAAGTAACAAGTACTATTAAATAAATAAATAACTCAGTATGCTTCGTAATGAAAATAAGAAAAAAAAAAAAGATATCGATGAAACTGATTCGCGTGATGGACGTTTCCTGACAGTGAAATACGGTCACTTGTACATCGTGTTGACCGGCGAAGGAATGAGTATGGTCATGTTTGCAAGGAATTACGGTATTGCTGCGTTATAAAATAAGTTATATCAGGAACATTTCCTTAACGTGTTACGAAATGTTATAAAAATTACTCTTCATAGCAAAAATCGTCAACTTACGATCTACGTAAGTCTGAAACGCGGCCGTCGAAACGCGAACGCGTCAAATAAATATCCCCTCTGAGAACTGATTCTACAGTTTAATTATAAACCGCGCGCGCGCGCGCTAAATCAACAATCTAGCAATCGTTGAGGGCGATCGGTATTCCTTCTTTGTTTCTTTTGAGATCAAAATAAAGAGTCAATGTAACGAAAAAGTGTTGTGCAACAACGTATAAGAGAATAAAGCCGCATTAAATTATGATCACAGAATTACATGTTGACGATGATAATGCTCTTTTTTAAGTCTACAACACCACCGCTTTTTTTATCGCGGATGGAAAATATTTGTGATGTACTTATCCGTTCCGTTCTATGGTCACGGTTTTAGATCTAAAGAACTCTTGTGTGGCTCTTTTCTTTCATCATTTTTATATCTCGCGGCACAAAAATTGATTTCACAAAGTAATTAATTTAACGACTAACCTTTATGCAAAGCTGCATCTACTGGAGTCATTAATTCGAATTTTGTCTTCCTTGTACACGCGTGGACGAATGAGAGAAGAATCTCCGGATGAATTTAATATTACCATCTTTTTCCGTGAGGCTACTAATTGTCCTTAAATACTTAGCGTCTCATTGTATCAACTCAAACTCTTCGCATTCGTCAAGGTCATCGTCGTACGACTCGTTACCTGAGAAGGAGGTAGCAGAAGGAATATTCTCTGCGATCTCGATCTTCTGATGAAGATCCCGTCCGCTCCCTTCGCAGAACAAGAACATCGGGTAGTCGACCTTCTCGTCCTCAGGCACCAAATACTACAACATTAAATAGCATTGAACAATTGATTAACAGATTAGGAAAATATTTTGAATAAAATTACGAATTCTCGTGTAGAACGGTGATACGTACGGAGGGAGCGACCTCCATAAACTTCGTGAATTGAATTTTATTGTGAAAATAGAATCCCACGCAACAGCTGGGGTCCATTTTTGAGATCAACATCTTCCTCGGCGAGGCGCAATGAAAGCTCGTCAAAGGAAAATTATCTTTTAACACATCGACGGTTTCTTGACAATAGTGTGGATCCAGATTGATCAATTTGTCTTCCTGGAATCCTATGAAGTAGAGCGAGTGCCTGGGTCGACCACCAATCACTCCGATACAGGTGTCCAAAGTGAGCAGATGAGTCAAGCAGGATGCATAGATAGGATTTAATTTGTCAACGCCGAGTCTTAAAGGTACAAAAAGTATGAGAGATTTCCATTTTCCACCGGCCATTTGACACGCGCTCTCCACATCTTGCAAATAAACTGGATGGAAAAGGTACGGATTAATTCAGATTCACAAAATAGCAGCTCCAATACGAATGTTTTATTACCTGCACAATCTTGAGCAACATAAACAGCCAAGTTACTAAATACTGGATGGTGTTCACCTGCGTGCTCCACCGCCCGACATAACAGGTGTGCTACAGAGGATGGTCCATACCAATCCCCCGCGCGTTTTCCCCATTGCGCGCCAATAGATACAAGCGTATGTATCGAAAATGGCGATATACGTTCAGGTAAATCACCAAACGACTTTATGATCAGTCTATGATGATACTCGTCCAACTGTTGTTGTTCCGTTTCTATTGGCTGATCCGGATGCCACCGCCATTCTACAGAGACACGCTATATTTACTCATAATCTCTCTAAAATGTATTAGAAAGTTTTAAAAAAAAAAGAAGATAAGTACCTCTTCCAAGAAGATGGCAGACCAGCGCCTGTGCCAACATCATCTGACCGCTCCGAAGCATGCAGCCCCAGCCGCAGTCAGTGGTGAATGTAGATCCATTCAGTATTGGGAACTCTCTTCTGTACGTTAGCCAGAGCCTGGACATGAAGTCCTTCTTGAATTCCTCTATACCATCCTCGAAACTAATAGCGTCTATCGCTAACGATATCTCGCTTCCGGTGTCTAAGGTTTTCTCAGCCTCTGAAGCCTTTTCCAGAAACTCATCTGGCTTCTTTCGGTAGATCTTCCCTAGGAGAAATACTGGAGATTCTTTGGAGAAGTTTGGTTTTACCATCTTGATGGTCCACCCTGCAAACGAAGACAGATTTCGATAGATTTGTACCTGTTTTTTTTTTTGTTTAAAGAATCTTTAAACTGGCAGAGACAAAGTTCTACTTACCATATTTGACATTATTCCACATCGACAAAAGCTTTGTCTTGACTTTACTATCAACTTCTGTTGCGACATTGCAATCATCCATGGGTACTCCATTGTTTGTGATATCGAGCTGTATATTTGAGACATGGTCTGCAGTGATCATTCCAGAAAACAATCCAACCGTGCTATTGCCCAAACCTCCTGAAAATCAAAATATCGATCGCATTTTAACAACATACAACACAATCGGGAAACGTCTGCTGGCTGCGGGATCGATGTACAACAAAGACACGATTATCAGTTGTGAATCACTAGCCTGCGTAATCGTACATGGTAAAACCAGTCAGTTTTCCAAGAAACAATGAAACAGCGATGATTCAATGGTATTCTCTAATCGTCAAAAAATTGATTAATATACTTCCAGTGAGCAAAGCGTTAAATGAAACTGATCTTGGCACGTAAAGGACAGGCAGTTACAAAAACGACAAAACCTCTAAGGAACATCCTCGAACAAAAAATTGTTATGGCACACTTCTTCTATGGAAGAACACAGCTACACAGTCGCGTAGACGTAAACGGAAAAATTTTCGGAAACGTGGCTTGTGTCTCAGTCCCGACATCGCAGATATAAATGCTCGTTTCTATTTTCGCTGCGAGGAAAACGGCAGAAAATTAGCGTCGAATATCCCCAAGGTTTGTTTATGCTCGCCAAAAGCGAAACGGATCCTGCGATTTTGCCAAGGAGGTGTTTTTCCGACGAACGGCAACATTTGCTCAGAGTTCGACACGCTTTAAAATTAGAAAGAGCGGGCAACGTTATATCCGCGAGAGCCTCGTTCGAATTAGAGCGAAGTGAAGCCAAATCCTTACCTAACCTCTCCCTGGAGGGTTGCACCTGTCCATTCATGCCCAGAAAGTAAATCTTGGATAGCATCTGCCCGGAGACATTTAAGTGTGCCGCAGAACGATGGAGACGCGAAAGAAGACAGCGAGAGCGACAGAGGCCAATCACATTTTCGCGGTTGCACCGATAATTACAAATGACAGCTCCTCCGGTCGCTCATTGCATCGCGCCGCCTCGATCCTTGGCCGTGTTCACGCGAGACCGGACGATCGAACGCGAAATCGTGCATCCGTGGATGCACTTTGGCCAGCGAAACCGATGCGATGCAGTTCGGCCTCGGGCGGGCGATCGCGCAGGGCCCGTTTCACCGCGGTGTCTCCTCGCAGACGGCGGTCGGACGTCGTCGCATTTTCTTTCACGCGGCAAAAGTGAAATACCCGCTCCGTAAGACACTCGAAATAGACGACGCCGTCGGCGGACAGAAGGACAGAAAGACCCAGGAATGCGAGTCTTTTGTGGACGCGGCTCGACTGGCGAGCCGAGTCGGGCACGGGCGAGCGCGAACGTTTCGAAAATAGGATTAAAGAAACCAGTGACAAGAGACGCGTTGGGAAAGGGACGCGTGTTTACGAAGACGCGTCGCGTGTGAAGTTTAAAGCGCTCGGCTGCGCACGCGAGCAGCCGCGCCGCCTGCCGGCTAATTCGAACAACGACGCTGCACGCGAAGTGCACGGATGCCGCACGCACACCGATTGCACTGAAACGGATCTGATTTGAAAATCGCGATAGCTTATCATCGTGCACACGCGCTCGAGAAACTTTTGATCGCTTCGCAAACGAGATTACGTGGAAAAATGTAAACACAATTAACGCTGCTTTTCTTTGTTCGGCGGCAGATTATTGCTACTTTGTACCAGGCCGTAGCGTGACTCATTTTTCTTCGTGAACTTGTTCGTTGTTTCAGTTTTCAATGCTCGTTGCGATTTTATCCTTCTATATTGGCTTGACTTATAATTTCGTTGATGCAATGAATAATGAACCTGTGAATTGTTTTAGAATTTTTTTGGATGAGTTTGTGAAGAGTACGGACTTTCTCTCACTCGAATAAAAAGAGGGGTAGCTGCGTAGCCGGCTGCCTGGGCAAGGGGCTGCCCCTGCAGTAGGCAACCACGTTTATTGTTAGTTTAAAGGTTTCAATGTTTGCGGTCTTTTTACGTAAACTGTCATCGGCGTAATATAAATCGACGTACTAGCGTCTACGAAATGAACATCCGACGCGATTTTAAAGTACTTCCAGAATGTAGAAAGTATGGTAAAAGGGTAGCTGTATACACTCGGTTGCCGGCACAAGTGGCAGCTAAAATTTCGCTAAATCTTCCAGAACGTTCGCGGTGCTTCGGCGCAAGATGTTCGGCATTTTTCAACGAGTATAGCGACCGATCGCGCGACCCCCCAGCTCCGTCCATTAATTTAATAAACCGCGTCGAAAGCCGTCCAAATAAGATGTATCCGCGTTATAATTGAAGTTTATAATATATTTGATCGCCGGTATTACTGCGCTCGGAACGGATCTTAAGTACTCCGTAAACTGGACCGCCATTCCGTTAATTAATACCGTCGAGAGGCTAACAAACGCGGCGGCGGTGGCGGCGCTTTCACGCGGAATTAAAAATCGCCTGGAACTCGATGGGAAACTGGATCGCCGTTGTTTCGAACTATTAATTAAAGCTCGGGAAACGTTTTCGGGGAAACGTTTAAGAAACACAAACTCGGCCGGCAGGGAAATCAGAGAGAAAGAGAGAGAGAGAGAGAGAGAGAGAGAGAGAGAGAGAGAGAGAGAGATTGAGAGAGAGAGATTGAAAGAGAGAGATTGAGAGAGAGAGAGAGATTGAGAGAGAGAGATTGAGAGAGAGAGAGAGAGAGAGAGAGAGAGAGACACACACACACACACAGATGATATGTGTTGGCCGGCGAGTCGCTCCGAAATAATTACACAATGGAATCACCGGCGTAACCACTCCATTAACCGTCAACCGTGATGACAGGCACGTTCGCGTCCGCTACAAATGAAATTCTAGCGGAGTTAATTTAGAGAATTCCGATGGGATCTCGTGTCTCCGGCCGGCGGGCCCGAAAATTTTCGGACGATTGGCGAAATTGATTCGATCGGCTCGCGCGCGTGCGGAATTAAAAGAAAGGCTTTAGGCAGCCTTTAGGCGCGAGCCAAACGTTCCCGCCTTAACCTTTTAGGTATGGCTGAATTCTGCGCGAGGCTATTTCTCTGGACGGCAGAATCTGATATGTACTGTACAGAGTCTGATGCTGTATATTCTGTCTGTATATACAGGGTGTCCCAAAAATATCTCGCAATCCGAAAGTGGCGGGTTCGTCGGGCCATTTGAAGCAACTTTTTCCTTTACAAAAATGTTCTCCGAGGCACCGTTAACGAGTTATTAACGAGAATCAGCGACCAATGAGAGGCGAGCTCGGCTGGCGCGAGGCGATCGAGCCAATGAGCGGAACCGGGCTTCGCGCGCTGGTTGGCTGGGCCGCCTCGCGCCAGCCGTACTCGATTCTTATTGGTCACTGTTTTTCGTTGATAACTCGTGAACGGTGCCTCGGAGAACATTTTTGTAAAGGAAGAGGTTGCTTCGAATGATCCGAGGAACCCGCCGTTTCCGGATTGCGAGACATTTTTGGGACACCCTGTAGACCGTTGTAAATCGATGTGAAGACAAAAGAAATATGAAACAATGCGTATGAAGACGATTATTTGAATCAAACGATGACCGAGTGAGCTAATAGAGCAAGCCACTATAGTGGCGCGTCGTCCAGAGAGATGACATCCGCGAAAGCCACTATAGCGGCGCGTCGGGCCTAAAAGGTTAAAGGCGGCGACACGCCTGTGTCCCGGAAAAGAAATCTGGTCCCGAGCGGATCGCCGTTAAAAATGGAAACGGGATCCCGGACCGCGGCCGGGGACAAGATTAATGGTGAAACAACAGAGCCCGATCGGGGTACATTATCCCCTTTCGTCGTGGCGCAATAAT